TATATATATTTTACATATATAAAAAAAAACTTCCATCAAAAGACAATCAATCCATGTAGGAAGTTTCTCTTAACTGTAAGGTACTTAGTTTGCTTACTTTACCACAATATTTCCCAAAGTCTTTGCCTTCACTGCTTCCTTATTTTCATCCAGAATCATCACTGTAAAAAAAGTAATGTAGAAAAAGAATTCCTGTTAAGCAGTGTATTTTTAGGTGAAGGACAGTGTCTTCATGGATATCAACTTATGCCACACTTCAGAACAGCAATACACCAAGCAACAAAAGGAATTAAGTAACTTGGGACTGCCAAACTGGATAATCTCATGACCTTATTAACATTCAGCCTTAAGTACAAAATGTCTTAAATAATACTCATGCTTTGGGAGCAGAAATAGCACAAAGTTCCAAAAGGGAAAAATACAGAATTGAAAAGACACCTTCGTACCGGCAAATCTAAACTTCCAAATAGCAAAGGACCCTTCAGATACATGACAAATACAAGAAAAAGTGTGCAGGTAACATGAGTAAGAAATAACGACTAAGATTACTGGAGGCTAACCCAGTTAATGTGAGAAATACTATTAGTAGTAAGTAAGTGTGTCTGGTTTTCAAAGGCTCTCAGGAGACCCAGAAAGATGCTCCCCAGATGACAAGGCTCATTCTAGCCTAGCACAAAGAGCTAAAGTAACTCGTGAACTACCCAAAGCTGCACAGCAAGGTGATGCCGGAGTACAGCGAAGGACCCAGACCTCCCAACAGAAGCCTCTTCCCTGGATGGCACTGGCCCATCACCTTCATAAAGCATCATATCCTGGTACTGAGGTTTCCGAGGAAAAACCTGAAACAGCCTTTTCCGTGCTGTCATCTGGAAAATCTACTACAACCACCCATTCCATCTGAAGGTGTGGGCATAAGGAAGGAATGACAGATATCAGCTTGGCCTGTGATAAATGGAATTGAACAAAGTGAAATGACTAAACCACGGAAAAACAGAGAGGGAAGGTTTTGACAGACTGGGCTGACACAGATTTTAAAAAAAGCTTTTTGAAGCCTGCCCAAGCAAAGAAAGCAATGTTCAGCTAGATCTAAGTTACTACAAATAATCTTACATTCTGTATTAAAAAGCTCCAGAGTAAATGGGGAAAAGAGGATGACAGACCTCTGACTAAAACCTTCCTAAGACTCTTATGAGTAATATCATATCCCATCTATCCAAAGAGTGCCAACATCTGTAATTTACTATTTCTGGCTGAAGCCACTCCATCAAAGAGGATATTAATTTTTAAGTAACTGAAGAGCCTGCTGAAAGAAATGGCTTAGCACATAGACACAAGCAAGTACACAATGCCGGTTTTACAAATCAGTGACTTGGAGTAACTGGGATAGGGAATCAAAAGGATGAATGGACACATAGATGACACTTAGGAAAAACAGCAAGAATGGCATAAATATAACCCATTTATAATCTGTAAACACTTTTTTTTTCTTGTATATTTTTAGACGGTGTAAGAACATAGTGTAGTTAGATCTGGAGAATTTATGCTCAGAACACACAATGAAAAAGACCCACTCACATGTAGCTTTCAATGCTTTCTCTCCTATTTTTCCTATTTTTACTAAAGTAAAATCTAATCAGTTTATTGTAACTATTTTATCAAGATAGCAATTCTAGATTTTATTCTCCTCCTTGCAAGCAGTGTATTTCAATGTACAAAAATTTGAGGAAGGGAGGTATTATACTGCTCACTCCTGAATTACTGAAGAACTGACTTAATTCTTGAAAATATGGGACTTGCTTCAGTTTGAAAACAACGCAATGAAATTATCTGGAAAGGGTTCAAGTAGATCAAAGGGAAAGCACAATATAATGTCTGATTTAAGGCAACAGCACTAGAAATTAATATGGTATCTTGATTCACTTTTAAATGTAACTTGTGCCACTGCATTTTGATATCATAGCTAAATACTGCTTTTATTCTTTATATTCTAAAAAATAAGTTTATTTTAGCAATACTGTTACAGGAAAGAATTTGCCTGTGGTTAAGAAATAAGTAGATTTTTTGGCTTTCTATTTATATCACAGCATAAATACAACATAACTTTAGCAAAGTCCAAAACCATTAACAGTTGCATGTATAATCTAAAAATACAGAAGCTATCTACTAAATGGCATAAGGATCTCTTCTAATTAATATAGTAAGAGCAGCAAAACAACATCAAAACAAAGTGGGTGACAGCAAGACAGCTGCCAGTACAGAGTAATTTCAAAATCCACTATTTTATGAAGGGCTGCATTACAGGACATAATTGGCCTCAAATCAAAGACTGAAAGAGGTAAAGTTCTTTCATAAATCTTTAGTGAATTTTAGTGCTCATTTTATGTTTCCCTTTTAAGGCATGCTAAAGACATTTACTTCATTCTCTTTGAAGAAATTCTTTACTTAGACTAGGCCCAATGTTCAAAAAAATTTGTAGGAAATTTTTATATTCTTGTTACTCATACTTTTTTCTGCTGTCAGATGATAGTCAGGCCTAGTGTGATGCAATTATGGTATTCCACTCTCCCCTATTTATTACAACTCTGGACAAACTTCACGGCTTTACCTTTGTTTTTAAACTATTGCTCATCTTCATGTCACAACTGTAAATGCCGAAACCCAGAGCTGCTGAAAATGCTTTAATGTTCACTTCCACTTGTATGTATTAGAAGAAAAAACAGCTTAGCTCTTCCTGCTCAATGACTTGAGAACTTTTCCTGAAGATGGTTTGATCTTTAATGTAATGATTTTTCAGACTTCAAGTAATTCTTGAAACATGTGTTAAAATCAGGATTGCCAGGTATGAAAATATATTTGCATTCTGAATCCTGTGGCTGCACCCTCTGCATGTAAATATCTTCCAGTCATTGAGTGTTCATCCTTTTAATGTTGGTCCATAGCCTACCATTTCCCCCAGCTCGAAATAAAAATGTTCCACAAGTACTGAAAGATAATGTGCTTAATAACTCTCCCAAATATAAGCCCGTATACCTGTACAAATAGGCACAAAACTGACTTTGATTTTCTTTAAAAAAGTGTGAGACGAGTTCAAATAGAAAATTTCTATCCTTGCCAAGCTGCTTGTTAGCCCACTATGACATATTTGTGGAAGACACAGACCTCAGGAAGAATTTTCTTTATGTACTTTAGAATACTTCTCATATAAAATTGTAGAGTCAAAAGAAAATCTAATCAATCTAATCCATGTGTCTCTAAGACATAATTATTTAATGTACATCTCCCAAACCAAAACTATTTAGGCTCTGAAAATTGAAAACACGGGTATAACAAAACACTCAAAGCGCAAGTTATAGCAATTATTTATGTAGTTATCATTTCCTCTTTTGCTGATGGTTATTACTAACATTTTTCTTCCTGATTTGTCCATACAAATTTTACTGCTGCTCTCATTTAAAACAGTACAACTGTAGATAAAGCCTTAGAACAAGCATTTTTTTCATGTCTTTTTTTATAACCAGTGTAGAAGTACATGCTAGCCCTTTCATATAATAAAGGTAGGAGTAGTTGCTCAATTTTCTTAAACATAACTCTGGGTTTCTTATTCACAATCATATTCCACAACACACAAAAAAGCAGAGCTTCCTGTTACAGGAAGGAGGAAAATGTGCTAATGACACTGTAATTTTCTTTCTCTACGAGGTATGAAAACTAAAGAGCACTTACTCAGGAATATAAGCAATATCTTCTTCTACTAGCACGTTTAGCACAGTCTTACCATTGTATCCTGGCACTGGTTTTCCTGCCTGTCCGGGTGGAGGTGTTGTAGAGTTCCCCAAACCAATACAGGAAGCAGTAATTGCAGAACCAGATTCTGTTAAGAGAACACCAACATTGTCAGTTAAGGTTGTTCTTAGTGTCATCAAGTGTTTATCGGTTCTAAGTTTTGCTTCTAGTTCAGCACATCAAAATAATACAATAAAATAAAAATCCCAGACAAGCAATGGAAGATTTAGAATTCAGGAGCTTTTATGTATTATCTAATGAATGTAAGTTCATTAAAGAAATTTGCATTCTCCAAAAGGGAACTTTTTCCATTCCATAGAAGACAGTCAGAAACACTTTCTGCATTACACCTGGAGTTTATTCTGCTATGGGTATAAGGTTATATCACACCAGTAAGCAACTGCCCACAGCAAATGTCTCTTGTTTTTTGAATCTTAGGAAGATATTCATTCATCTAACTGCCGGCAGATGAATTGGACACTGGCTCTGCCTGCTTGCTCCCTGCACAGAGCCCACGGAAGGCAGGTCTGGGATCCCCTCTGAAGTGCCAACATAAAATATCTTGTTCAGAGCTTCCAAATGAGACAGCATGAATATCCCCTGTAACGTCTATGCCTTCCTAATTATCCCCACAGTTAGGCAGCTAGAAATTCTTCCCTCCTCACCTTCCTGTTTTTCTTAACAAAGCTCAATTTCACGTAACAATTTTATACCATAAGACTAGTTTTTATAGAATAGGAATAAAAACTATCAAGTCATATAACAGAGAGTCTAAGTTTGAAAAAAGACCAGTTGCTCTTCTCTCTAAGAAAAAAAACTATAGAAATTACTTTTAAATGCTGCTGTTACTCTAAGCCACAGAAAATAAAGTATAGGTAGCTGTAAATATTAGCAGGAACACAGTATGAGACTATTACTTTAAAAGCACGGCTTCATCATTCTGGAGATGTCCCAAGTCTCAGGTAACTTGGCCTGGAATTCATAGTCCATGCTACCCTCAAGTGTCAGCACAGCAAAGCAGGTTTGTCTTCAGCTCTGTATTTATATCTGATCAGTAGAATCAAAAATACTTTAGTCCTCTTGCATTAGGAAATTACAGTTGCTTTTGCTGTGAATTTTCTCAGCTTCCATAGCATTCATCTGCCACTTCAGAAGCTGCTAAATGACTATTCGAGTGCTAAAAGAAGAAAGAACAAGAACAAAACTAGAGAAACTTGTGGTGGTTTTACATCAGGTGTTAGTAAGTAGCTGAAAATTAACATTAACATAGCATAGTTAAGTTAGGGCCTAATTCCAGCTGTGGTACACACGAGAATTATCAACCCTCAATGCTAATAAAGACAGGCTAAAAAGTTTGCTTGGTTGTTACCCCAACTTTCCCTGTTCCTTCTTCTACATAATGCACATTCCCCACACAATCACGGATCCTAATCTTTTCATCCAATAAGCAGAACACCCAAACCACAATTACAGTGGTGACACAATATCAAAATGATCTATAGTCTGAAGACTTTTCTTCTCTTTTCCTTGGAATGAAATGAAAAATGGCATTGTGAATTGGAAAAGACAATGTAAGGAACCGTTTCTTTCTCAAATGTGTTAGGAGGAAAAGAAGTGGTATCATGGAGCATATCTTGCTTTACATATTGTATGGCGAGAGCTAAAAATCATACTGTAACAGATCAGGTGAGAAAGGTATTCTCCTATCACCAAAACATAGTAATTAGGTTTGCTACTGAGAGGTAGGGAACACAGCATCGCTGTTAACCTGGTGTACCAGTAAGATATGCATGAACTGGGAATTGACAAACATTTCTCATCAACAGCTCTCAATCAAAAAACCCTGAGGGGAGAGGGAGAATCCAAAATTTCTGAAAATTAGTTTGGATTTGCTTGACTGGTACACTGCTGATGAAAACAATATAAACTAGAGAGGAAACTTCATCATACTAATTTGTCTGTGTTTGTCCCTGCTTTTTTGACAACAGTGAATAAGACTTCATGAAAGTCCACTTATTCTAAACAAGAATCACAAGTTCTAAAACTCCGTGAATAGGTCTTTATAATTGCTGATATTTCTTCTATTGTCTTCTGAATTACCAGTGGATATATCACTTTCATATTTACCCAGTGCTCTGATCTCTTAAGCTGTACATTCCGTTCCTATGGGTCAATAAGATTTCTTATATACATGAAAGAAATACACTTTTTTGGTGCTTGGACTAGATATTAATTCAGAGAGGGAACCCCAAAAGCATCTGCTCTCTGTGTTAGGTTAACAGTTCCTGAATACTAAAGATTCCCTTACAATGTAGAAGCACAAAGGAGTACTGTCAAAGGACAGCATGAATCTTTGTGCTGTACATTTCTTGGGAAATCAGTGCGTATCTTCCAAACAGGATGCTGGATTGAAATATCAATTTCCCAAACCTATCAGAAAACAGTAATCCCTTTGTAGAATGGCATTTTCTATCACAGAAAAAACAGCCTGACTTGGAAGTGGAATTCAAT